ACTCCCTATATATTGAAATGGAATACAAGGAAATCCTGAAGGGGATTATTCCAGAATTGCAAACTCTATTAGTATTAAGCCTGAGTTTGTAGCTTGTTTATCCCACTTGTTCATGTTGCTCATCCCACTTGTTCATGGCCTTCATGTGAATACTATGCAGGATTCGACAAACAAATATGTATGAGTATCATGTACACAAATGGGTCATATATTCAACCAAAAAACCATGGTGATCTAAGCAACTAGCATGGTGGAATACTTTAGTATTGGCAATGGATGTGTTTGCATTGATCATTAGTGATTATTATATGAGATATTTTGTGTTAGACTTCTTGCTATACTAATTAATTAATGGTTACCGGATTGGCATATGCTCTCTTATATGTTACAATCCAGCTTCATGCATCTAACTACCTTTTGCATTTTGTCTTCTTTCTATGCTCTTTTTTCCATGGCTTGTAACACAGAAGACTTTGATCATATGTAGATTCAAAAATGGAGATATTTCCAGTTGATCTCATTATATACCATTCTAATAGTTATCCATGAGCCCATCAATACCATCCCACATTTCTTCAACATGCATATAGAAAGTGGGTCAAAGAGTTTCTTTTGTAATAACATAGTGTAGATGTGGGGAACAACCACATCCCACTAATCCAACCTAATAATAACATAGTATAGATCAAGTTGCTTGCTGTCTATAGTAATTATTGTGTCTTTTCCTATTGACATTGTGATAACATATAACTATCACTTGAAGTGGGATTATAAGAGGATATTAGAAGAGAGAATGACATGCTAATGAAGAACCTTTTAGTATATACTTTTTCTTTTGATTACCTGCTATCCAACACCATTCTCTCGACTTCAATGCTAATTTCGACCTAGTTGCAGCTTATATTTTCGAAAACTCAAAACGTGAAAGTTGTAAGCCCGTCTGTTGGCTTTCCAAAACATCTTGAATCGCTTTAAACAAAGCTTGGATGAATGAGATATGGTCGAAAGGACACAACCTCGTAAATCTGTCAAATACCCTTTTTTTGTTCTTTTACTTGTTGTGCATAACTTGTTTTACATAATTGTTGTCATCTTTCACTTGTGTATACAACTTGTTCTAGAAAGGTCATACCGACCTCATTTTTATCATTATTCTTCTTTACCATGGAAGGTCTAATTCCTCATTCCATGTGATCAATTTTTGTTGAATTTTGATTAGCACCTACTTAATGGAATTTATTTTAGTGATCTCAATAGTTTATGGTGTTTTTTTTATCATTTCTTGACGTGGATACTTTACAATTCTAGTTATTATCGTCAATATTTCTTGGTTTTTTGTGTGTGTTTTTGTTTTTGTATGCGTTGTCATTGAAAACATGATGGATAATGAAGACCTTGAAATGTTTGGGTCTTTTTGACATAAGTATGGAATCATATGATGAATCACTGGAACCCAAAATTTCGAGGGTTAGTTGAAAAGAGAATGTAGTAAAAGCCTTCTTGGCTCTACAAGAGATGTCCATGAATAGAATGCAAGGCGCCTTCAAATGCACTCATGGAATAAAATAACAAAAACATTAAAAAGGACTTACAACTTCATTGTCAATCAAAGACAAATGAAGAATCACTATGATTATTTGCAAGGGAAATACATTGTATGGTCTAGACTAAGGAATAAAATGGGTAATGTTTATAACCCAACAAACAACACATTCAATCTATCTGAGGAGGAGAGGAAAGCAGAGACAAATGTCAATTCTTTTTCTGGTTTTCTAATTTAATTTCTTTATATTTTTTTCTTTTAGTTATATGTTTTTACTTTTTTTTATAAGCAGATCAGTAAATATGCTGACAAGTTGAGAAAAGAATCACTACTTTATCCTAATCTATATATGCAAATTTTTGATGGAGTGGCGGCCATGGGTATGGGGACTTGGGGACCTTGGTCTAATTCTCATAACCTTTCACGTGTTGCTAACGTTTCTAACCCGCCTTTAGTTGTTGATGATCAAGGATTGGATACCACACAAGCATCTTCTATTTCAGATCAAGCACCTCCTATTTCAACTCAAGGACCACTTAATTCAACTCAATGACCACCAAATTCAACTCAAGGACCATCTAACTCGACACAAGAATGTTCCTCTCGTTCTCAAACCAGAAAGCGAAAAGCTAATCAACCATTGATAAAGGAAGATGAGTTGGTTCATGTGGTGACACATGTGAAAACCATTTTTGACAAACCATCGGAGGACGGGGATATGGACGCTTGTATGTCGAAATTGGAGAAACTTGGTTGGAAAGATAGCCCATTTTATGACATCACACTTTCCTTTTTAGCCAAAACATAGATTCTAGGAGAATTTGGCAACGTTTGAAGGATGAGAGGTGTGAGTCATGTGTTAAATTTACGGCACCCTAATTTAACTTAAAATAAGAAGGTGATGTTTGATTTTGATATGGTATTTAGACCGACGTTGTATGGACGAGTATGAAACTTCATCATTTTTTGATGTTTTGTATGGACGAGTATGGAACTTTATCATTTTTTGGTGCTTTGTATAGACGAATTTTGGAACTTTAATATGTTCAGTTTGATATTATGGCACTCTTTAGTGTTGATTGTTTAACTTGATGTTTTTGTTGTTCTAATTGTATGTTAAAGATCTATGTCATGTATGAAACATAATACGACGTTTTTTGTATTTCGTATTTGCAAGGTTATATGGATCATAATCAATTAATGATGATTATGGTGATTGCATATTGGTATTTGAGAAGCAAGAATAAAAAGAAGAGAAATAATAAGAGCTAATAATTCAAATTTGACCAGACATGCATATACACAAGAATTGTTACGTGGATCTAATACACAATGTCATGAATTGATGCGTCTATCTTGTGATGCTTATATACTCTTCTGGAACCATTTTAAACAAAACAATTGGTTGCAATCCATTAGTCGTATAAGTGTTGAAGAGAATATGACAATGTTTTTAACTATTATTGGTTATAATGAACATTTTAGAATGGTTAAATGGAGATTTCAACATTCCACACGAACTATTCACATATGTATCCATGAAGTGCTAAATGGAAAGACGGAATTCGCAAGAGAAGTCATAAGACCAACATCCTTTGATGGAACTTTGAACATGTCAGAGAGAGTCAAAAACCTCAAAGAAATTTGTTCGGTATGTTATTTGTTTTGATAAATTGTAAAACATGAGAAGTTCTTATATTGTTATATGTAACTTATGGCTTTCTTACAGGGGGCTATAGGTGCACTAGATGGAACTTTGATACATGCATTTACGCCCACAAATCAACAAGCAAGATATATAGAAAGAAGACGAGGTGATTGCTTTCAAAATGTTTTGCCAATGTGTGATTTTAATATGATATTCACATATGTTTGGGCTGAATTGAAAGACATTGCACATGATGCTAGAGTTTTGAAAGAAGTTGCATTTGACCCAAATTCGAGATTTCCGTTTCCTCCACCAAGTATGTATCATCATATTTCTAATAGTGAAATATTATTATTTTTGTGTATTCTTTTAATTATATTTGTAAATGCAAATAAGTATTATCTCTGTGATGCTACATACCCCAATACCCATGGTTTTTTTACTCCGTATCGCAATAACGGTATTGGTTAGCTAATTTTCGACGCCGGTGTGCGGTACGTAAAGAAGAAAAGTTCAATCATGCACATGCACAATTTAGAAACGTTATTGAACGTGCATATGACGTCTTGAAAGCAAGATTCCTAATTTTGAAGCGAATGACTTGTTATCCTTATCCAAAACAAATAGACGTAGTAGTTGCTTGTTTTGCAATCCATAACTTTAAAAGAAAATGTAATATCCAAGATCAACTCTTTATGCAATATGTTGAGAACATGGAAGAGGCAATGATGAAGTCGTTGAAGTACAATGGGGGGCTTCTTAAGACAATGGATATATGGCTAATATGTGGGATCAGATTGCGATTTAACTGTTTTCAAATACTTCAAATTAATTTTTATTGTCTAGGATGAAAAACAAACAATTTCTTTTTGGTATTAACGTTTCATATCCCGTTTGTATTTAAGTATAAACAACTATTAATATATTTTGCTATTTAATTTGAAGTATGAAAATTGTATTTTATTCTCTTATTTGACAGTTAATCATATCAAAAAAGTAAAATAATATTATTTTTATTGGTAAACATTTATTTAAAGTATGCATTTTGTTTTTTTTCCATTAAACTATTAATAACAAAAATAATTACATATTATTCAACATATAATTACAAATATGATTATGATGATCATTTTATTGTTGGTAAGCACTTACCAAAAACATTTAGTAAAATACTTTTACCCGGGACAACACTTACTCGGGTCAGCACTCTTACCCGGACAACACTTACCCGTTAAGAGTTGGTAAACGGCCCCTTAGACTTGCATGTTTAAAAAAATTGTAATTTACTTTTAGTTATGAAAATTAACATCATATAATTTTTTTCGGACCGGTTTTGATTTAGAGTTCGGGTCTAACCAACGTTGAATGGGGAAACCAATGGAGAAAAAAGATTTTTACCCTTAACGGGTTCCCCAACAGGGATCGGGGAAACCACAGGGTCCCGAAGGAGATCCCTGACGAAGATCGGATGATTACAGGGACGGTTTTGGTTATCAATCTTAGAGATGGAGACATCAGTAACCGGTCAATTGCCATTCGTAAAAACACCCTTGATTTAACATGACATATTTAATAGAATTAAAAGACAAGGTACCCGATCGATAACGAAAATGAAATCGGTAACGAAAATGAAATCACATGGACCATATCTAAAAAAATTAGAGCAAGAGACATTGATCCGTAATCTTTAGATAACCACAAGGATCAATATGTAATTTAGTCTACTTTTTCTTGTATGACAGTTTTGCCTGCTTTCTTTTATTGGATAATCTCTCCCTCTCATACTCTCTCGCACAGTCCGTGGGTTCATGTGTGTATTTTACGTATATGGTTTGTAGGAGGCAGAAGAGTGGCCATGTCTGCGATGTTCAGGTGGAGATCCAAGATTCTTAGTAAGCATATCATAGCTTATAGAACAATCACTTTTTCATCATCGTCATCAAACTACCACCACCATAGAGCACTAAACTTCCTCACACCACTGCGTCAATCAAACTATTTCAATTTTGGATGTTTAGGGTTTCAACAAAATCGCCATAAATGGGAAGGAAGTTCCAACAAGTATGATCATATTAAAGCCCAAGTTAACTGCCCTAGATGTTCCCAGCTGATGACCCTACTTTTTTCAAACCGTCCGCTATCAATCTCTTCCGATACTGGCATTTACCATGCCCTTAACATGTGCCCTAGCTGCAGAACTGCTTATTATTTCAGGCCGTTCAAGTTGGAGCCTCTTCTTCAGGGGAGTTTTATTGAGATTGGAAGGGTTAGAGCGGTAAAGGAAGGTGAGGTGGGGACTATTGCTGCTGATAATGACGAAAACACAAAAGTAGGGGTTAAAATATGGGAGAAGTTAAGGTCGTATGGTGGGGATGCGGTGGATGGTTCAATGGTGGATGCTGCTGGTGGGGTGATGGAGGAGCAGGTGAAGCGTGGAGAGTGTGGTGGCGATGAACAGGGTAAAAATGGGTGGTGGGGTGGATCAAAGTTAGGAATAGGTTTGCCCACACCCAAGGAGATATGCAGAGGCCTTAACGAGTTTGTAATTGGGCAGGAACAGGCAAAAAAGGTGCGTGGTTGACATTATTTTTGTGTATAAACGAAAAATGGGTTTGATGTGCTATGATATCCTTAATCCTGGCTAGTGAATAAATGGGACATTAATATATTGAATTGGATGGTAAAGAATGTGATACTTTCTTATGATTCCTTTTGTTATGCTTCTAGTTTCAATATGAGTGAAAAATGAGATGGTTGATTGCTTGCGAGTGGCTGGGGTGGTATATGCTAAAATGGTTTCTGATTATTATTTGTTGACCAACTCAACTCAACTATGTAATTTTCAACTGACTGGGATATGAGCTAGATTTTTCTCGCCTTATGATGTTCATGTTTCTTATTGTGGTAATTATAGACTTGGCGGGTGCCCAAGGGACTTTATCCTGATGGTCTTTCCATTGGTGTTTAAAGGTTGATGTATGAATCCCTCTGTTGTTTCAACAAAAAGAACATCTAACAGAAAAGCACAATAAACCTTAAGAAAAGGAGAAATATAAAATGTAAACCTAATGATTGTGTAGAGCTCAGTGTACTTCATGTCCAGTTTGGATACGTTTTTCACAAGAAAATGGTTAGTTACATGTAAAAGAAAATATCAGGCTTTTGTATTTCTTGACTAAGAATTAGATATGTAGTGGAAAAAAGATTTGAAAACAGGTTCATGTGTTAACAGGATCCCAGGCATTATATTGGTTATTTGACTTTGTTGTTGGTCGGCTTGTATCAAACCTTGGTTCTTTGTATTAAATATTAGAATTTTCAGATGATTCGTGGGAAGTGAATGCCAAGTATCTTTTAGTTTTGTTTATTGTTTTATGCATCAGTTTAGTTTATGCAATATGGACAATATGGCAGGTGCTTTCAGTTGCTGTTTACAACCACTACAAGAGAATTTATCATTCTTCTATGCATAAAAAGTGAGTTTCACACTCTTGTTGATTAGTTGTTGCTATGAATTTGGCATCTCATCAGAAGCATTGTCCACAAAATCCCCAAGCAGCATACTGTAATACACCATGCATAGAAAATTGAGTTTTTAGTCAAAAATAGAAGAAAAAATTGACCAAAGGGTCTTTGACCTAGCGGTATCATAGTCCTTGGCCTCCTAGGAGGTCAGGGGTTCAAACCTCATCAACAAGTGAGGAGGGTGTGTGAGTTTATTTGTTGTATTTGCCGTATATAAATATTATATACTTCAAAAAGAAAAGGAAAAATTGAGTTTTGTACCCTTGTTGAGAAATTGTTGCTATGAACTTGCATCGTATAGGGTACATCATTCATAAAGATCCCTCATTAGTATCACTTAGTAAGGTTCCAGAGCTTGATTGTCATTACGAGACCCTACAACCCATGTTTCTTTTTGCAGCTATAAAAAATGCATTTTTGACCTTCCATAGCACTCTGATTCTCATGTTTATCTCTTATTTTATTGTGTTTACCATATGTATATTTATAACCATTTTATGGCTCTTGCTGACCAATGACTTCTCTCCTATTTCCGTGGCATTGAGAAGTGATTGTGGTATCAGTTCTGATACCCCATCAGGTTGTCAAGGAACTGAAAACCAAGATGTTGATTATGTTGAATTAGAGAAAAGCAATGTTCTTTTAATGGGTCCAACTGGCTCAGGTGACCACTTATTTTCGAGATGCATTATATTGTTGATTGCATCCAAAATCTTATGTTTATTTGCTAATGGAACGGCTCTTTTTGGTTGCCATTTGCATGATTTTCTTCTGATTATTATATCGTTAATTTGACTGAAAGGACAGGGAAGACATTACTTGCGAAGACCTTAGCTCGGGTTGTGAATGTGCCTTTTGTCATTGCTGATGCAACTTCATTGACACAGGCAGGTTTGAAATAATTTGTACCTGTCATCGGATACACAATTATGTTTGAGCTCATGCCACTAATCTAATTCATCATTATGTATCAATGTTAGAATTCTGTTGATTTGTTGTTTTTACTCTTCTGTGTTATTATTACTTGGAGCTGAGTAAAAGTTTTGTCTTTCATGTTTTTATATTTTTCGGAGGAGTGGGTTTGGGTGAATAAGTAACATAAGATCTTTTGTGAACATATGCCTCTTGTCTGAAAAACAATTTGGATCTGCAAGAACTGCAAAATTTTTACACGTCTGCTGATATTGGCAGGTAGGGAAGGCAAGATATTGGCAGATCTACTGAATAGATAATTGCCATGTTGGGTGTATGGTATATGCGTAATCTTGATATGAGTTTTGTAGGTTTTGAATAGTGGTCCGCTCATAATATATAAAACAATGGTAATTTTGCATACTGTCGCTGGTTATTGTGTTCATATCTGCAGAGGATGAATAGGGGAAAAGGCAGAATACTGATGGATGTAATGATTAGGTAATACAAGCTAAACTAGTCTTGTTAGATTACATTTGGAATAAACGATATTTCCCAAGCTTCTAGGGTAAGTATTGATTCTTTTGAATAAAAAATCCTTCTCAATTTCCATTATAACACAAATTATAAGTATATGTAAACCCTAGACCGTAAATTGTTACACAGATACCAAATTGGGTATCTTATTTATATTGCCTATAAATAAAGGGAATTTGTTAAAACTTTTACTTCTTGTTCCGGCGAACGAATACTCATTGAGATTCCTGTCTTGAGAAAGTGTTTTCTCCTCTTTGTCCTGTAAGTTTCAAACTTAACCAAGCCACTGCTTATGCGCATAATTCTATATGTATCTATGAGATCGAGTATGGAATTCTGTTTACTCACCGCCCCTCTACGATTCTGTATAAATAGGCTAGGGGGTCCTTTTTGATTGATTCTTTTATTTGTAGAAATATTACATCCCAAGTGATCCTTGGGCATGGCTAAGCTTCTATACATGAGAGATTGTTATTTGTAGCCTATATGGAGTATGGTCCTCCTACATGATTACTATTGTTGCTTAGAAACTGTTAGATTATTGACAACTGATGATTGTGCAGGCTGTCAGTTGCCATTAGTGTGCCAACGTTATCACATTGACATCTATTTCTTCCATTTATTATGTTAAAATATATATTACTATTAAGCATCTTGTCATTTCGGTGTTGTTGATATGGGTCTCTTTCCTCCACCCCTTCCTTAGGCAGGTTATGTTGGAGAAGATGTGGAGTCAATACTATATAAGCTCCTCGTGGTATGTACATTTTCTTGTGCACTTGAGTACGTAATATATGAGGATATAAGTACTAAGCATTATATATTGCATGATGCCATATCTTTGACTAATTAAAAGAAACCCTAAACATGATGGAAGTACTGAATTGAATTCCCTTGTACATTGGTTCTGAGTTTTGAAACTAGTAAGTTGACGCATACAAGTACTACACAATTGGGTACATGTTCATCACATTCAAAGATCATATTGTTATTTGTGGATGGGTTCAGTCCACCTGCTTGATGTTGCATTACTTCTTGATTTGTGCATGCATGTGGTTTTATCACTTTTATGCATGTTTACTTTGTAATTGACATTCATGTTTATAGATACCATTCTGAATCATCTTAGTTTCTATCTCAATATTGGTTTCGACATTAGGCTTATGCTTTTATTAGTTTCCCAAGAAATCTTGAGTTGACTCATAACACTAGTTGGAAGCAATTGGAAATAAATCATACTATCAATATAATATTGTTAGAATCAAGGTCCTAAATGACGTGAGGTGTGGCGTGGCGTATGGTCGAGCCTCAAGCCTTACGAGTTACGGTGAGGTCAAGGCGTTTTTCAAGATGTGCCCCAAGGCAACATTTATATATACACACACACCCACACTTGTATGTGTTAGTTTTTTGAATAATACTCTAAAACAAATTAAATTCATATAAAATAATAAAACTAAAAAAGAAAGAAGAACCATTGATATCAAATATATAGAGCTTGTATAAAATGATATCAAGAGTGCAAAATCGGGATTAAATCTCTTGAATCTTACTTTTCGTGTATGGGAATGTGAGTAAGTATTTACCTATTTAAGGTTTTAGTTGCGTTCCCTTTTATGTTTATTTAAGTCCTACGTTTGTTACATAACTATCATTATTTCCCAAGTTATATATTAAATTAACCCCACACCTTACAAAATAACTCGTCGTAACGTGTCGTAACATACCATAATGCGTTACAATGCAAGCGAAGCCTTAAAGTGGAGCCATAGGGGTTAACGCGGCGACAAACCCAAGCCTTGACGCCATAACGAGTTATTTAGAACCATGGTTAGAATGTATGGAAGTTTCCACAATGCCATTAAAATATCTTTACCCTTCTAAAACACCTAAGATCTTAATTGTTTATCTTTATTTTAGTGTACATGGTTCTTTTTGTTTAGGAGGTGAACCTTTTTTTTGAGCTATGCTTTCGTTATGGCCCCGTACTTGGGATCGAGTTATGGGTCGTTGTAACGTGAAATGTTGATCAACCGTGGTGGGTGATTGCTTTTTATTTCCCCTTCTTTCTACCTATGATGAGTGTGTAATGGTTGAGAGCTCGATTGATGAGAGAACTCCCTAATCTCAGTAACAAGTTTCTGGGTGAAAATATTCTTCCCCTTTTTCATTCAACAACTAGACTACAAATACAGATACAAGGATGCAGAGAGAAATACTAGGAATTATAAACGTGGACTTACATGCTAAAAAGCAATAATGTTGAAAAAGCATTAACTACTTCTAAATTCTGGCAATGACTCCCTCCACTACAAAGGTTTCTTGAACTTTCCATGCGTTCGTCTCTGATAAGTTTGCAGTTGAGGTATCGACCTCCTAACATCATTCCCCTTTCCAAATGGCTCTTGACCACGAGTGCAAAGTCTGTATGCTTGGACAGTTAGTTGTTTGCAAGCTCCCATGAAGCATCAGCAAGATATAAACCTTCACAATGCACCAACAGTTGAGTTGCTCCATGGACTGTTTTGGACTCGAGAATAGCCTTTGGAGTTGGAACAATTTCACCTTGAGAAACTTAAGGAAGTTGTGGGTTGCAGTCAATTGGAGTCGTGATATTTTTTTAAACACGAAACATGAAAGACTGGATGAATTTTGGAAGTCTAAGGAAGAGTGAGGCGATAGGCAACTGCTCTAATATGTGCTTCGACCTGGAAATGTCCTTAAAATCTAGGCGAGAGTTTCTTATTCTTCTTAGATGCCATGCTTAATTGACGATAAGGCTGTAGCTTGAGGAGCACTAAATCCCCCACCTGGAATTGAACTTCACAATGAAGTTGGTCATAAGCAACCTTCATTCGGTGCTGAGCTTGCAATAATGTATCACACAATGTTGCCAGTTGGTCCTTACTTTGCAGTTCATTATCAATGGCTTCCAACCGAGCTGCACCTGGGCAATGATCGAGAAGACGTGGCAGTTTTCTGCCATATTCAACTTCAAATGGAGACGTTGTAAGCGTGGAGTGGTGGCTTGTATTATAGTAATATTCTGTTCATGAGAGCCAAGACAACCATTTTCGAGGTTGGGCACTAGTGAAGCAATGAAGATACATTTGAATGATCTGATTAACTACTTCCGTTTGACCGTCACTTTGGGGATGATAAGCGGAGCTAAAACTCAATAGGGTGCCACTCAACCTAAAGAGTTTAGTCCGGAAACAACTTAAAAAATGGCATCACAATCACTGACAATTGTTTCGGTGCTACTGAGGCAGCTGAGTAAGGGTGAGCCATAGGGATGAAATGTGTATATTTAGAGAATCTATCCACCACCCTTAAGAGGACTGTTTTTCCATAAGAACTAGGTAAAGCATCGATGAAATCCATTGAAACATCAGCCTGTACCTGAAGTGGAACAGTAAGGAGCTGCAAAAGGCTTGTTGGTTGAAGATGGTCAATTTTATTCCTTTGACATGTTGAACAAGCATAGACATACTCGCGGACGTGTTGCTTCATTCCCGCCCAGTAAAATATGTTGATTAACTATGGATAGTTTCTTGGTATCCTTCATGGTGTTGGTTGTGTACAACAGAAAGGATGGACTGGATAAGAGGGGTTGTAGGTTGTAAATAAGCATGAATCTTGAAAAATATCAAGCCTTTCTTGAAAGATCAAGTTGGCGGTAAGGTTGCCGACTGTGATTTTGGTGACCAAGTGTTGTAAGACGGCAGAGTCGGCAATTTCTTTCTCCAGTGCTTGAAAAAGGCTCAGTTGTGGCATGGAAATAGCCGAAATCATACCAACATCTTCATCTCGCCGGGACAAGGCATTGACAAGTGACAACCTTATTTTCTTTTCCAGCACGATATTCCACCGTAAAATCAAAATTTTGAAGCTTGCTTAACCATAGTTGTGGGGAAGTTGAAATTCTTTGCTCCAGCAGATATTTGAGGCTGTAGTGGTCTGGTGCGAATCAAAAAGTTTCTTCCCCACAAGTACGATCTCCAATGTGCAACTGCTTTGGTGAGGCCAAGAAGTTCTTTCTCATTCGCTGGAAGTTGGAGATGCTGTTGAGCAAATGGCGACTTAACAAGGGAATTGGGCGTCTCTTGTTGCAACACTGCTCCCAGACCAGCACCGGAGGCATCACATTCCACAATGAATGGTTGATCAAAGTTCAGTGGAGCCAACACTAGGGTGTTTGTCATGGCAGTCTTCAACTTTTCGCTGTTCGGGCAGCATCTGTCCACAAAAAGAGTTTTGCGTAACATATTGGTTAGGGTCATTGCAACATAGCCTCAATTTTATGATTGTCAGCCTTGACCCCTTCACCTGAAATAAGAAGAACCAGATAGGAAATATGTCTTTGGGAAAACGAACATTTTGTCTCCGAAGTTGATGAATTCTGATGTAATAAAGAGAAAATCACTCGAAGATGGTGCAAGTGGTCAGCACAGGTACGACTATAGATTAGAATGTCATCGAAGAAAACAAAAACAAATTTACATAAATAGTGCTGGAACACATCATTCATGAGGGCCTGGAAGGTTGAAGGTGCGTTTGTCAAGCCGAAAGGCATGTCAAGGAACTCAAAATGGCCATGGTTTGTTTGAAAAGCAGTTTTTTTGACATCGTCTAGGTGCATGCGAACTTGATGGTAACCAGAATTCAAATCTAGTTTAGAAAAGTAGCGAAATCCATGTAGTTCTTCCAACAATTCACCAATGACTGGGATCGGAAATTTGTCCTTAACGATTTTATCATTCAGTTAATGATAGTCAATGCAAAAATGCCAAGTGTTGTCTTCCTCTTTTACCAATAAAACTGGAGAAGAAATGGAGATTGGCTGGGGCTAATAATTCCTTGCTAGAGCATCTCTCAGCGTCGCCTTTCGATCTCATCTTTCTGCATATGAGGATACCGGTACGGTCTGACAACCACAGGGCATGGTCTCAAACCGCAGGGCATGTTCCTGGTTGAAGGACAATGTGATGATCAAAGTTGCAATTGAACATCTTGTACCACTTCAGCTTTGAGTGCCAAAACAGAAGGTTAACGTTGCTGCCTAGGGTCTTGAATCCCACATAATGCGATGGGTTTCTCCATCCACATGAATTCCATTCGCATGGTCGCAAAGTTACAATGACTGTTGGTTACCCAACTGAAGAGAAAGCTTTTGATAGACTCCAGGACTGCCTCTTCGCCATTGGCCACTGTGACTTGAAGATTGGCTTTGTTTTCAATAGGGACCCGAAGCTTTCGAATTAGGGACTCGTCAACAAAGCTATGGGTGGATCCAGAGTTGATCAAGATGATGAGTGGCTGTCCGTCAATCTTGCCTTCCACTTGCATGGTTTGGGAATTTTGGGTGCCAGAGATGGCATGAAATGATATTTCGGGGTTCGATGTTTCACCTTCATTGACATCGTTTTCTTCAATTGTTTATAGCCAAAAGAGTCGTTTGCATTTATGACCCATTTCATAGCATCCGTCACAGTTATAACACAACCCTTTGCTCTTGCGCTCATTCATTCTACTCGCGAGATTCTCTTAACAAATGGAGATGATGGAGTTCTATTACCAGCTCCGAAATGGAGGGTCGTATGCTTTGTCCTTCCCATGTTGGCGCTCGTAAAGGCGAGCGAGGCTCATCGCCGTGGTTAACTCAGTGGGTTGTTGCACTTCAACATCAACTGCAATAGCTTGACGGAGACCACTAACGAATATCGCCATTTCTTGCTCGGAAGTTAAGGCTGGCATTTGGGCAGACAATTTTTCAAATTGACGCTGGTAAAGTTCGACCGTCCTGGTTTGTTTGAGTTTGGATAATTCTCCTAGTTTGTTGCTGTGCAATGGTAGTCCAAAACGGAGGTGGTAGGTGATGTTTAAAAACTTGCCAAGTTAGATGTAAGTTGTCTCGTTCTAAGTTCAGATACCATCGTCGAGCATCACCTTCAAGGTGGAATGAAGCCAGAGAGACCTTTTCGTCGTCCGAGGTCCGTCGATGAAGAAAGAAAATTTCGCAGCGGCTTAACCAAAGCAAAGGGTCATCATCACCATTAAAACATGGAAGTCAAGCTTTGCATACCTTGGAACAAATTTTCCACCATCACCATTGGTGGGCCCAAATTTTCCACCATCACCATTAAAAGTTTGCCCTTGATGCAATGATTGAGTGAGTTGTTAGATTTGGGCAGCCATATCTTGCTGTCTGGCATCCAATGCAGCTTGTTCGGCCTTATAGATGGCGAGGAATTCCTCAAATTGCTCCTGAAAAGAACGTTTTTCGCCCATAGCTTTTGGCTCTGATACCAATATGTTATAGCCCCGTACTTGGGATCGAGTTATGGGTCGTTGTAACGTGAAATCTTGATCAACCCTGGTGGGTGACTGCTGTGATTTCCGCTTCTTTCTACCTATTATGAATGTGTAACGGTTGAGAGCTCGATTGATGAGAAAACTCCCTAATCTCAGTAACAAGTTTCTTGATGAAAATATTCTTCCCCTTCTTCATTCAACAACTAGACTATAAATACAAATACAAGGATGCAAAGAGAAATACTAGGAATTATAAACGTGGACTTGGTGGCCTACATGCTAAAAAGCAATAATCCTGAAAATGCAATAACTACTCCTAAGTTCTGGCAATAACTCCCTCCACTACAAAGGTTTCTTGAACTTGCCATGTGTTCGTCTTCGATAAGTTTGCAGTTGAGGTGTCGACCTCCTAACAGCTTCACTGTTTTTTTTTTTGCTTTTCCCTGTCTTATCTTTTTGTCTGCATTTGCTGCATGTCTATACCTGTTGACCATTTGTTGTATTTGGTTTCAGGCTGCTGACTTTGACGTCGAAGCGGCTCAGCAGGGAATTGTTTACATAGATGAAGTTGATAAGATAACTAAAAAGGTCGTTTTTTTAGATTCATGGAAGAAGACATAGATGTAATTTTATTAGTTTTCCAATAATTAGTTTAAACATCTATGCAGGCTGAAAGTTTAAGTACAGGTAGAGATGTATCTGGAGAGGGTGTTCAACAAGCATTGCTTAAAATGCTTGAAGGAACTGTGAGTGCTATTCCTGCATAAGTGCTTTTCTATTTGCATATTCATCATCTTTTAGAGTCTTCAAGTGTTGTAGTGCTTTTATTTGAAGTTCTGGAACTCTATGCATTGTTGGATGATTTTGAATGTTTCTGATGGTTTATTTTCAGATTGTGAATGTTCCTGATAGTCGAGCTCGAAAGCAGCCTCATGGTGAAGGCATTCAGGTCTCACCTTAATGGCTTTTGATCTTTTGCAGAAACTTCTATGTTTATGGTCAATGGCTAGGCCATTTCTCACTAATCATTAATCAGATGCTACTGACAGCATTTTCATGCATCTTTCTTTTTAATTTTAACTGAATTAGTATAGCCATGAAACATGTCAGAATTGTTGCATGGAAATAGATGAGCAAGTGCAAAACCTGTTATGGATTCATCTCTAGTCTAGGACTTGTATTCTAATGTGTACTAATTAATAAAAACAAGATATTCAGATGGTGCAACTTTCCATGCTTAATAAGTATAATAGTATACTAAAGCACAATATCGTATGGAAATTTCTTGAGAGGGATCTGGCAAGAAAATGGAACAAGAGAAAAAGCTGAATAAAAATAATTATAATGAAACAATATCCCATGATAAGTTTTCAAAACTGACCTGATCTCACATTGTAGATCGACATATGCTATTAAAGGTTTTGCTCAATGAGTTCAATAATCTCCCTGCAAACAAGCCGGCAAAAATGTCTGCATCAAAAATAAATTTTGTTTTAAGCTAAATTAAATGATAAGATTATGAGTCGATGTTTATTTGGTGACCTGATGTTCCTTGAATCTGCAGGTTTTACCATGGTTTTAAACTTTTTGCCACTTCATCCAACCTTTAACATCTTTTTCATTTCTCCGGTCCTCATTTAAACCAATTTGAATAGTGAAAGATTTCATCCTAGCTACCTTTTGTCTACATATGCTTATATTATAGTCCCACTTCCAAATTAGCAACAATGAAGTTTGTACATCATGCATCCTAGTCTGTTGTTTGATCCAAAACCATTGGATTCTGAAATTTTATCCCAACATCCAACTTCACATTAACAACTTGCCTAGCCTTATTAATCAATACAATATCGTCCATGAAAAGCATAAATCATTGTATATCAACTTGTATCTCCTTTTTGTGGGATCCTTTATAAGCAAAAAAAAAAAAAAGGTAACGAGTCACCGTTGGTATAGCTCTATAGTAATAAGGCATGCTTTCACACTTATTATGCACGAGTTACGGTCAGACAAATTAAGTCTAATAGGAATAAGGCAAGGGAGTGGAAAGTTTATTCTAGAAGGGCTAAAAGGGCAATTGTGGAAAGTGGCTAGAAATTTAGTTAGAGAATAGTATCTTTAAAAGGGAAGGGAAGGGAAGGGAGTATGTATGATGTCATGTTATTTGCATTTTCTGTTGTATTGGCTCTTTGCATCATGCATTGAGAGAGGGATTCTCCCTGGACCTTTTCTATAATTCCTTTTCGTCATTAATTTCATCAGCTCCCTTCTTCCCTAAATTCACTGTTACAGTTCTATTAAATTTTCTTTTTCTATCATTGGTCCGACCTGCCATTTGATCTGCTGGGTACCATGGAGACTCAATCAATTCAAGCCTGTTTTGAGCAACAGGATGAACAAATTCAGCGCTTACAAGCTGATTTGGTGGAAATCAAATCTTCAATTACTGCGTTGGATTTGGATTGTGCCGAGGCCAGCGAGTTTCAACAAGTGATGATGGGATGGATGAAGCAGCAACGTAAATTTCCGATGGGTGGTCAAGGTGAGTTCTCCGGCGATTCACCTCCGTCCCCAAAGGAGGGTGTCTATTCGGGTGTTTTCTCTGGTTCTGGTCAGACCCCTGTTCCTCCTACGATGGGTCTTCCTTGGGCAGTGAAGAAAATTAAACTCCCTAGTTTTATGGTTTTGATCCTCAAGGCTGGATTCAGAAGGCTTCTCTGTATCTTGATATCAATGGTACTCATCTTCGAATTCATTTCGCACAGTTGAGCATGGTGGGAGTGGCTCTACATTGGTTCACCATCGTTAAACAGGTTCTTGATTCTCTTACTTGGGATCAATTCCAAATTGAATTGTTACAAAGATTTAGTGGTCTGGAAATTCAAAACCCATTTGAACAATTAGCCATGATTAAACAAACAGTTTCCATTCACGATGACATTGATGATTTCGAGCACCTCTTGTCGTTGGTTCCAAAATTGCCTGAATCTCAGGCACTGGGGTATTTTATAGCGGGTTTATGTGACGAAATCAAGAGATGGGTTCGTCTCCACCAACCTCAATCTCGAGTAGATGCAATGTATTTGGCAAAAGACGTTGAAGAGATGCTTCGACCGTCATTGGGCAATGTTTCATAGTTCCGTTTTTGATGCCACCATCTGGGTGGGCCGGGTGAGGGTTTTCAATTGGATCGTACTTCTCAATTGGGCCAGTCCAATGCTCATGGGCCTCCATTTGTTAATCACGATGATAAGGGTTCTTCTATCCGATTCGATTCTAATCGCCTTCAAACTTCCCGTCAATCTGCGTCTACCCCATCGGAGATTTCTCAAGTGTTACATCAGGATCGAGGGGTCCGTTCTCTAATGCGTACCAAGTGGGAGGAACGTCTTAAGAAGGGTTTGCGCTTTCGATGTGGCCAACAGTTTGGTCCAGCACACAAGTGTCCAGAAGGGAAATTGTGAGTTTTATTGTTGGGAGAGGATGCATACGAGGCTGATGAAGGGGAATTGTGTCAGTTTGAAGAGGCGACACCACCGAATTTACGTCCGATTGAAGTGCCAGGTCAAGGGTTGTGTGCTTCATTGGAGCTATTTGGAGCTTCTTCCACGACTTGTGGGGGTAAAACATTGAAGTTGGTAGGTAATATCTCTGATATTCTTTTGGTTGTTTTGGTGGATAGTGGGGCAACACATAACTTCATTTCTCGTCGATTAGTAACTTCACTGGGAATTTCTTCAACTCAATTTGATGGTCTCAATATTCAATTGGGTGATGGCCATAAGGTATTCATCAATCAAATGTGTCTTCAGTTGTCTATTATGTTGGGTACTTGTTCTTTTCTGGTGGATGCCTTAGTATTCGATACGGGTGATTTAGACATGGTGTTGGGAATGTAATGGCTACGATCTTTGGGAGAGGTCATTCATAATTGGGACAAGGCATGGATACGTTTTATGCATCAGGGGAATCATGTTCAACTTTAGGGGTTAACATCAGTTCACCCGTCCTTTAATTCACTTCATAATTGTTTGACGTCTATGCCGGTGGTGCATTCTCTCCCGGGGTTTTCCCTTTTCATGATTTCATTCAATACACATGGGTTGTCCTCTACTCAATTAGCCGATTTACAGAAGGTTTTGAACATTTTTTCTGTTGTTTTTCAAGCTCCTACGGGTCTTCCTCCTTCACGTGTTCATGATCATGCTATTTCCTTGGTTTCCCCGCACCAACCCAATAGTGTGCGACCTTATCGATATCCCCACATTCAGAAAGCAAAAATTGAAAGAGAGGTCCACGAGTTGTTGTCCTTGGGAATAATTCGTCCAAGTAAAAGTACCTTTTCAAGCCCGGTCATTCTAGTTCGTAAAAAGGATAATACATGGTGTATGTATGTGGATTATCGTTCTCTCAACAAGGTTACCATTCCGCATAAGTTTCCTATTTCTATGGTTGAGGAACTTATTGATGAATTACATGGTGCTCGTTATTTCTCCAAATTGGACTTGAAATCAGGATATAATTAGATTCGTTGAGGCCCGACAATATTGAAAAAACGTTTCGGACTCACAATGGGCACTATGAATACTTAGTCATGTCGTTTGGCTTAATGAACGCTCCTTCGACATTTCAGGCTGTGATGAACTACGTTTTTCGTTCCTTATTATGTAAATCTGTCGTCGTGTTTTTTGATGATATTTTAATTTAGTCCAAGTTGGGATATCCACTTACGAGATTTGCAGGCTGTCTTGGGCATTTTGTTGCAGAATCATTTTGTGGTAAATCAAAAGGAGTGTTCTTTTGGACAAACATCGGTGGAGTACTTGGGTCATATCATCTCTGGCAATGGTGTGGCCATGGATCCTAAGAAAATAGAGGCGGTAATGGACTGGCCAGTTCCCAAAAACATTAAAGGCTTAAGGGGATTCTTGGGGCTTACTGGTTATTATCGGAAGTTTGTCAAACATTATGGGAGCATCGCTCGTGCTCTCACCGATCTCACAAAGAAAGATGCTTTTCAATGGAATTTCGCTGCCCCGCAAGCATTTGAGGCTTTAAAGGCTGCTTTGATAAACGCTCTTGTTCTAGCCCTCCCTAATTTCAGTTTTCCTTTATTGTTGAGTGTGATGCCTCTGGGAGGGGCATTGGGGCTGTTCTCATGCAACAGGGTCAGCCCATTGCTTACTTCAACGAGGATCATTCCTTCTTCACTCTCTTGCTAAGCTTTGAGTGATCGCAACTTGGTGAAGTTGGCCTATGAACGGGAAATCATGGCGTTAGTTTTATCTGTTCAACATTGGTGTTCGTATCTATTGGGTACTACTTTCATAGTCTATACCGACCAAAAGAGCCTTAAATTTTTTTTACAGCAGCGCATAATCACTCCTGACCAACATAATTGGGTGGCTAAACTCCTTGGCTACAACTATGACATTCAATACAAACCGGGTAGAGAAAATCGTGCTGCTGATTCACTTTCTCTTCGTGCTGATTCTGGTGACTTTCTAACTTTATCTTCTACCCCATTATGGCTTCAAGGTGCTGACTTAATAAGTGAAGCTCGAGCTGATACAGAACTCCAACGGATTACTTCGAGTTGTTTAGCTAACCCGTCTTCATGTCCTGTTATACAGTTCTACAGGGGATATTGTTCTATAAAGATCGTTGGTTATTTCTCGCACTTCCAAGTTTATTCCTTCTTTATTACTTGAGTTTCTCCAGTTTGCTTCCGGAGGGCATTTCGGTTATTACCGTACTTACCGACGATTGGCTGCAAATTTATATTGGCGGGGCATGGTGGGCAGCGTTAAAAAGTTCGTTCGTGAATGTGATGTTTGTCAGCGTTGCAAAGCCAGTTCAGCCTTACCCGGGGGTCTGTTACGGCCGTTAGACATTCCGGAAGCCATTTGGGAACATCTCTCAATAGATTTCATCCTTGGACTGCCTAAATCAAAGGGGTTTGATGCTATCTTAGTAGTGGTAGACAGACTATCGAAATACAACCATTTTATTCTCCTTAAACATTCGTATACGGCCAAAAGTATAGCTGAAATCTTTGTTCAAGAAGTAGTTAGACACCATGGAATTTCAAAATCGATCATCAGTGATCGTGACCCTCTATTTCTTAGTCGTTTTTGGCAAGAAATTTTTTGCTCCCAAAGCACGAAGCTACTCATGAGTTTTACTTATGATCCGAAAACGGATGGTCAAACAGAAGTGATTAACCGTTGTCTCGAATCTTAATTTACGTTGTTTTGCTACTGACCAGCCCCGTAATTGGTCAACATGGGTTCCTTGGGCGGAGTTGTGGTATAATTCGACATTCCATAGTTCAACCGACAAGTTCCCATTTGAAGTTGTCTATGGACGTAAACCCCCATCTTCATTCAATTTATTCCAGGGGAGATATGTGTTCAGGCAGTGATACAAGAACTTCATGAACGGGATGAGGCATTAAAGCAACTCAAGATTCACTTAGCTCAAGCTCAAGCAGCAATGAAGGAACAAGCAGACAAAAAACGCAGAGAGGTTGGCTTTGTTGAAGGGGAATGGGTGTATGTCAAGTTGAAACCGTACCGTCAAATGTCGGTCACATCGCGTTCATCAGAAGCTCGCTGCTCGTTTTTTTCGGCCCTTTTAAAGTTGTGGAAAAAATGGGTCCGGTGGCTTATCGTTTGGATTTGCCTCCCTCTTCAAAGGTTCATCCCGTCTTTCATGTTTCTTTACTTAAGAAAGCGGTGAGATCGGATGGTGACCAGGTGTTACCAACACCTCCGGAACTGGAATTAGGTACAGCCGATCAGCCAGTTGCATTTTTGGCTTCTCGTGCAGTAAATGATTTCCAAGACTCGATCGATCAATGGCTAATTCAGTGGAAGGGGTTGCCAATCGAAGAAGCTACGTGGTTTCTGGATGCAAGTCTTGAGGACACGACTTTATTTGATGGCGGGAGTAGCGATACGAATCCAGAAATCATTAAGTCTAATGGGAATAAGGCAAGGGAGTGGAAAGTTTATTCTAGAAGGGCTAAAAGGGCAATTGTGGAAAGTGGCTAGAAAGTTAGTTAGAGAATAGTATCTTTAAAAGGGAAGGGAAGGGAGTACGTATGATGCCATGTTATTTGCATTTTCTGTTGTATTGGCTATTTGCATCATGCATTGAGAGAGGATTCTCCGACCTTTTATGTAATTCCTTTTCGTCATTAATTCCATCAGCTCCCTTCTTCCCTAAATTCACTGTTACGGTTCTATTAAATTGCCTTTTTCTATCACACAGATACAAGAGAGAACTCTAAATAGTACTAATTTGTCATATTACTCCCTGAGAGCATTGGAATGTCAACAATTTGATTCAACTGCTGTGATATGTGAGAGTTGTGAAAGGTAATATATTCAAAAAAAATTCTCTTGACCTGTGCTGCTGATTAGGTACACCAAAAGAAAAATACCTGCTATTATGGACACAGAATTCGTGCATTTGATTTTAGCTAGGAGATTCGATATTAACACTGATCATATATATATATATATGTATGTATTTAGTCACATGAACCGTTAAATTCAGTATCAAGTTTAATGAAAAGACACATGCGCATACACACGCACATCCACATCCACATCACGTATCTGCTGCCTTCAAAGCAGGGCTATCTTAGATTATTGGGGGGGGGGGATCATTTGGTCAGTTCTCATCCGTAGTTCACATCGGTTGCAATGTTTGCAGGTAGATACAAAAGATATCCTTTTTATATGTGGTGGGGCCTTTGTTGATCTTGAGAAAACCATTTCCGAGAGGTGGAGACTCTTACACTTGCTGCTTTCTGGTGGAGTCATTTCAGTATATTCTTGATTGATGATTTTTTTTTTGTCTCAGACGACGAGATTCATCTATTGGCTTTGGTGCACCCGTGAGGGCTAATATGAGAGTTGGTGGATTAACTAATGCTGTGGTTACATCTTCACTGTTAGAATCTGTGAGCGACCATGGAATAATTTTTTACATTAAAGCAGTGAATATTTTACTTACATTTTGAACCTTTTAAATAATATTAGTTAGTAAACCTGAAAGCTGCTTTGAATTCCAGGTAGAAAGTGGTGATCTTGTTGCATATGGCTTAATACCTGAGTTTATTGGTCGATTTCCTATTCTAGTGAGTTCATCTGCTCTAGATGAGGACCAACTTCTTCAGGTTTGTATTGTTTGTTTATATTCCTAGTATATATTTCTTTACTTTGTTACTATTAGAGGTCTGGTTGTTAAAGATCAGAATTTCAATTTTGGTAAAATACAGGTATTTGGCATTCCTAGTTCCTGTTAGCCTAGAATATTTTGCATGAGTTATCTTATAGAGGGAGGATCAAACGAGAATGCTAACTATTTCAGAGAATACGAAAACGGTCAAATCACGTGCAAAATCACATGTGATTTTACATTGATGGTAAAAAAAAGGTGTGCAGACGACTTTGGCGTGAATCACATGTGATTTTGTGTCTTCAGGTTGCAGGGCAAAGTCAGCGACGAATCACATGTGCTTTTGTACGTGACATTAATGTAAAATCACATGTGATTCGACCATTTTCTTATTCTCTTAAATAGGTACCGTTCTCATTGGAACCTGACTCTATCTGTATAAACCTATATATGTATCGTTATATTTGTTCAGACATAAAACTGTGCTATTTTGTCTTTTTCCTTAATTACTAACACTGTTCTCGAAACCTTGTTTTTGAAGGAAAAGAAAGGACAGGGAGGGAAAAGAGGGGAAAACCATGTGTTCTCTAAGCTTTTTAGGAGGGAAAGAAAAGGAACCAAAGGAAAAATACCATTTACGTTTCCTCCCAAATGTGGAAGAAAGGGAAAGAAAATCTGAAAGGAGTCTATGATCTTCTATGAAAAAAATACCCTCATAAGGAAAAGCGAGAAAAAACAAATATAAAGGGTATATTTGTAAAAGAGGGGAAAGGGAGGGAAAAGAGGGTATATTTGAAGGAAAAGAAAGGAAAGGGAGGGAAAAGAGGGNGGAAAGGGAGGGAAAAGAGGGTATATTTGAAGGAAAAGAAAGGAAAGGGAGGGAAAAGAGGGGAAAACCATGTGTTCTCTAAGCTTTTTAGGAGGGAAAGAAAAGGAACGGAAGGAAAAATACCATTTACGTTTCCTCCCAAATGTGGAAGAAAGGGAAAGAAAATCTGAAAGGAGTCTATGATCTTTTATGAAAAAAATACCCTCATAAGGAAAAGCAAGAAAAAACAAATATAAAGGGTATATTTGTAAAAATGATATAATTCCTTTCCTTTTTCTCCGATTCAAGAGCACAAAAAATTATTTCCTTTCCGGTTCAATTTGGTTAACTCTATAGATATGGGTTACATGCCGTGATTTTATGCCTCATTTTCACTTCAATGCTGGTGTTTTGTATTTGGCATTAATGATGATAAAGGAAAAAAAATCCTTCGATGGACTAAAGCCGTAAAAACCAGTCATTAGATATGATTTATGAGTCTTAAAAGAGCATTAGAAGATCAAACAATTAATTTTTATCTGTATGGACCTGCTTTTCTAAATTATTCATCTCTATTCCCTGTATGGAAGCATCATATTTTCATTACCCTTGAACTAAATTTCCATTTTTTCAATTACCGACAGGTCTTAACGGTACCTAAAAATGCTCTTGGGAAGCAGTATAAGAGAATGTTTGCCATGAACAACGTAAATGCTTGTTTGCCACTTTCCCCAGTAATAATTTTTAATCTCCTTCATGCAGGTCTTAACGTTCCGTGGTATTAATCAGTGTTTCTACGTGTTCCCTTGTATTTCAGGTCAAGTTACATTTTACTGATACTGCATTAAGATTGATTGCAAAGAAAGCAATTGCTAAGAACACCGGTGCTCGAGGTCTAAGAGCCATTCTAGAAGATGTTCTCGTGGATTCAATGTTTGAGGTATTTGATTTCTACTTTTGTATTCTCGGTTGTGAAGAACATCCAAATAAACAATCTCTTAGGTTGCGTTTAGTACTTGAGATGGAACGGGACATGACGGAACAAAAATTGGCCCCACATCTGGCGTGGCATCGGACTGGACATGATAGGACTAAGGGCCTGCTTGTTAGCAGCTTAATGAGCTTAATGGGACTCACAACTTATTCGGTCAGCTATAAATGACTTTTTGTAGTGGCTTCATGATATTGAAAATGCTCATTTAGTAAGCTTTTTAGAGAGGAGCTTTGTGCTGAAAGCCAAGTTTTTTTTTCCGAACGTGCCCCTCTATATTAAAAAACATGCTACTTCCATCTATGAATAAAGCCCTCCCAAACAAAAACCTTCGTGATCTATATAGACAGATTAATCCACAAAGACAACTTTATCCTTACATATTACTTAATGGAAAACCAAACAGCCCCTAAGTGGGATAAAGATTGCATTTTTTGTCCCACCAAAATAGGTGGAACAAAGCCAGGAAGATGAGACAAGATTGGTAAATTACTAAAATACCGTAAAATTAATGCCCCAAAACCTTCCACAATTATTTCACCTGCCTACCTCACTCTCACTCTTCCGGTCCCCGTTCAGTCTAATCCCGTCTGCATACCAAATGCACTCTTAAAAACCATCCAAGTTTTGTAATACCTTTTGCATAAACAACAAAGTTGAAGCTGTTGAGTGTCTATATGTATGTGTATATATATAGATAGATAGATAGATAGATAGATAGATAGATAGTATTCATGGGATTTAGTGGGTCTATTTGGTTTTAGTGATTTTAATCAGTTGAAATATTGCAGGTTCCAAATCCTCCGGAGAAAGGAATGGATTCAGTTGATGCAGTGGTGGTTGATGAAGAGGCGATAGGATCAGTAGAGAAACCGGGGAGTGGTGCAAAGATTCTTCATGGAAATGGTGCATTACAAAGATATCTCTCAACAGATCCACTGGTATGTATGTATGTATGTATGTATGCTTCATTCAGTTATACTTGGATTGTTGATTTACTGAATGAAATTACAGGAAGCAAGACAAGTGAAGAAGAAGAAGGATGGTTTTGAATTGGAGGTTGCCATGAGTTTGTAAAAGCATCGCCATCATCATCATCATGGGTTTGTATGTATGTACATCTTGAAACCAAATGCTTGATTTGTTATCAATTAGMTCTAGTGTTTCTTTTAACGTAAAATCATCAATAACTCCTTAACAAAAGGAGGTGGCCAGATCCCGATTGCATCCAGTTTTACGGAACTAGTTTGATGCATAAGAATACTAGTTGAATCTTACGGTGATGCCACTTTAAGGAAGGGTTGTTAGTAAGATGAAATTCCAATTAAGGGATTATTTTGGCTACAACTACCCTTGTCATGTGGAAGGTGATTTATAGGGGTGAATGGTACAACATTCAGATCACCTTTCGAAGGCCAAATTACAAAACTCGGAGATTCAATACAGATCTAGGGTATGGAATATGTAGAGTCGAGAGATATATAGGTAATGAAATCGCATAGCATAGAAATATAAGATTTAGGGTTTATGGACTTGTTCATATATAATCACAAGGAGCCAAGAATGATGAGTAGATCTAGGGTTTGTTGACTTGCAATGGCTCAAGTGAGGATTGTTATCGGGTGCTTGTAGTCAGAGTAATAGACATCGTAAGTAAAATGAAGTCAGTATTCAGTTAATCAACTCGTAGTAATATTTTGTCCGTAAATAGAGTAAATTTAGATGAAGTGAAAGTAACGTATAGTATTTTTTTTGAGTTTGTTACAAAACCAAATGGATAGAACCTTTTTACACATGAATTGTTTAAATTAGAGGTTTGTTTGAGTAAGTTGGTCAGAATACATATAAAGAAAAATAGATTATGTTAGCCTTGAATGATAATAGCAAACAATATGATCAAAAGGGTTGAGAAATAGTATGATCTATACAAAGGGATAGTGAGATTGCTTTCTATTAGCCTTGTGCATTTGGTTGGTTCCACTTGGCAGCAATTAAGTTGTGGATTTTGGAATTCTTCTTAGAAGTTAGAGTTATCGATTCGAAAACATCTAAGTTTCATCGTAGTTGGATGCTATTAATTCTTGTGCATGCCCACTTTCAAAAAATAAGAGTTCTATCTTGAATTATGGAGTAAGCTTCATTTTTGGTCTTTGTCGTTTTTCAACTTTCGATCTTTTTCATTATAACTCCCTTTCTCACACAATCCATCGTGTGTGTGTATATATATATCTACACACACACACACCCCCTATAGATCATTAAACTCCCCTATGCTTCGCCACCGACCACCCTCTTCTCCATCTCCATAAAAAACCCGTTTTGCAACCCCATTCAAAACCCACCTCGTCTCCCTAAAAAGACTAACCTAAAATTCTATTCAGAACCCACCCTATCTCTTGTTCAACCAAACTAACCATCTGCCAAGCTACCACCGTAAATCCCGAACCTAAATCAATATGCACATCAACAATGGCGATGAGAAATCGATCCTCTGAAATCTCCCAACTTTTGTTCTTCAATGTGTGGATTTTGATCAGAGGAGGGGGTGGGTTAGGCTGGACAACGGGTTTGTGTTTTATTGATAGAGTTAGTTAGCGATGGTGGTGCCGAACTTTGGTAACGATCGATAAATGGATGAAGGGTTCATCAGCGAGGAGAGAAAGGTAGAAGGGGAGAGGAGGGCTTCCTGTCGGAAAGCACGCCAAAAAATAGAGGGGAGAGAGCTCATTGGAGAATATGTCGGAGATTGTTTTGTGTATAATTAAATGTTGCCCGTGTAAGGTTAGGTTATGTGAGAAGGGTAAGAAGGGATCTCCACCTTGCATCAATTTTAATTGAAGATCAATAGTAATGAGATATATCGAGATGTAACAAATCTATTTTCATATCTAGCGCAATTCATGAAGTGGGGTCCAGATTCTTTCTTTTATCCGTACATGTGCTATATGTAGGCTGAGCAAAGACAAAAAAACTAAAGTCAAAAAAGTTAATAAGTCGAATATTATATTATTTGATTTTTATATTTTTAGTAAAAGACAACTGAATATAGAAAAAGACTTAAATACCTCTTGTTAATGGACAAAAGTTAACGGTCATTAATGTATATGTGTATACCGGAAAAATTGCTTAAGTTACCAATATGCATGCCGTCCAGATGAACGCTTACCAGAGTGTTTTTTAGTTTTTTATTTTTTTTTGTGGTTTTCCCAAAACGTGACCATATATATATATATATATGTGTGTGTGTGTGTGTGTGTGTGTGTGGAGGTTCAAATGAGAAAACTTTCATTTTACGTGAACGCGAGAATATCATAATTCATTTATGAACAAGTTTCAGTAATTAACACATTACATGTTTCACTAATGAACATTGTTTCACTTATAAACTTATTCAGGTTGAATCTCCATCTTTTTCTCTTGATAAACTTGTTCATTGAAAAACTTGAGAACTAATTTGAAAAAGATGATATAATTTCCATCCTCAAAATCATTCAACTCTTTTTTTGTAGGAATCCTATTAAATTCATTTATTAAAAATAACTAAAAAGTCTCTCTAATCTTTTCCAAAATTAACCTTGTTAATTGTTGTTTACATGTATCAGTTTCAATCTTATTACACTAATGAGGTGCACCAAGATCACCAGATCAATTTCCTTTTAAAGCGCAATTCATGGGTGGGTATGAGATTAGAAGTGATCAAGGATTCAGATCTCTTTTTGTGCTTCTCACCTTAACTTTCATTCTCACACGATCTTTAGCTTATATATAGGGGCAAGTTCTTTTGTTAACATAATAATTGGTGTTAACTTTGTGAACCAATCTTGACTCTTGATTCTTAAAATCTATGGATAAAATCAATTGTGACATATTTGTAATTAATTAAAAATGAATGATATCAAAAAGATAGGTGAATAGGGGTATTTTTCGGAGATATGTTCAAATCGGTTACAAACCAATAATTAATTAATTACATTGGTTACAAATCGGTAATTGCTCATCCCTTTTATAGTTCGTAGAATCATCAGTGTTGCATTATGAACACTTATGAATGCATATGAACATATATGCAACTTATTAACTAATCTTAGTTCGTGGCTCTTACATACGAACATACGGAACACTTATGAACACTTATTTGCACCTATTAAAACTTATGAAACACTAAAATAATCAGCTTTCACATGTGAACATAATAATATATGATCAAAGTGTTTCATTTGTGAACACATATTGACCAAATGTTAGATGTATATAGATACTATTTTATAAACACAACGGAACACATGTGAACAATATATACATCATATGAACATTGGCGACTACAATATATGTTGAAGATGGAACACCCAAGTTTTTTATAATGTTAAAATAACAAGTCATCTATAATTTGGGAAAAAAAAATAAACATATTATTTTAGCTATAATCATGGGATTGATGTTGTTGCAACCGCCCATTAATGAATGTGAAGTTAAGACAAAAAAAGAAGATTACCATTGTGTCCTCAATATTAATTGTATGGTGATAGAAGAACCTAACTAACAAAAATTTGTGATTGGTCTAAATGATTTGTATAGTTAATACCTTTTTCATGGTTAAAAAATGATCTTAGCTCTCTCTCTCTCTCTATATATATGTATATGTATATATATATATACATATATATATATGTATATATATATATATATAGAGAGAGAGAGAGAGAGAGGGGGGTTTAAATCAAATGAAATCACAAATATAATACAAACCCTTGAGAACCGATGCAAAAATATTTTTTTCACATGATATATTTTTCATCAAATGTTAGGATTTAAGATATTGCTTCACATATATTTGTTTCATAATATGATAGTTTTACATGTATTTGTTTCACCATGTAATCTTTCACAAAGTGAACACAAACATATGTGAAACAATATCTTAAACCATAAGGTTTTTTGATGAAAAAAATCATGTCAAAAAATATTTTTATATCGTTCTCACGGGTTTGTAATATATTTGTGGTTCTTATTTGCTTATCGTCATCTCTCTCTCTCTCTCTCTCTATATATATATATACATATATATATATATATATATATATATATATAAGAGTGAGTTCATTTGTTAACCAGTATATGGTATTAACTTTGTAAACTCATCTCATCCATTGATCTTTGAAATTTATGGTTGAGATCATTTATGACATAAAATTTAATTAATTGCACAAAGAGGGTAAGGTAACATAAGTAAACAATATTTACAAGGGGTATTTTGGGAAAATATTATAATGATATGAGATTCAACTTGTTCACTCATGAAACATGTTTAAACTCATATAAGTGTTATATCAACAAGCTTTTATGAACATCCTTATGTCAATTCATGTTTGAAAGGCCATTCATGAGTGAACAAATATTCATGGTTCATATATACTAATTGTTCATGGTTTTTGATAAATGTATTTATGGTCCACCAATAAATACATTACTTTTGATAGAGATAGTGAGCTATCGTTCATAAGTGAACACCTTAATGAACACTATTGTGGTTAAAGTCCATATTAAACGTTAATAATTGCGTCAACAGTCAACAAATGATTTCTTTATGCAAGTTAGTTATGCACAATTTACAACTATGAACACATGCATTATTTCATTATATTGTTATGAAAACATGTTTTTATGAAATTGCTTAGTTGTAATGGTCAATTAAATATGTTTCAATTAAGACCAAAAGAAAAATAACTAAAATCATGGAACATTAATCTTTTTGTAACCGTTAATAAAATATGTTTCAATCAAGAAAAAAAAAAAGAAAAATTACTAGCATACCCTCACCATTAACCGCATAGAGAGATATGAACATTAAGTATAAAGGCCTTTTGAGTGGTCTATAAACACCTATGAACACTATATGGTTATGATACCTATGAACACCATATGGTTAACAAAAGTTCTTGAACACCTATGAACAGTGACGGACGCAGAAAAATATATCGTAGGGGGCACTATACTCCAACCAATTAGCATATTGATCAAACCAAGTCGGACAAAATCGTCTTCCTTTACTCCCGACAAATTTTTTGGAAATGCATGACCCCGTGGTTGACAAAATTAACCTAATCTAAAGCATTTACCAAATACCAAATCACCAATAAGCAAACAACAATCTACAAAAGTAACCTAATCTAAAGC